CGGGGCCCAAATTGTACCCGGAGGCCGGCCAGACAGACTAGACCTTGATAGGTTTCTTTTCTTACCAATTCTAGAAAACAAAGTTAGTTACTCATCCCCAACTCCCCAGGCCCAACACATTCAAAACAACTCCGAAGTCTAGGAAAAGCCGCCATACCATGTCATCCATAACTTGGCTTCCACTGCTGAGCGCTGCCTAAATGCTTGAAGCGCATTGCCCCATTGAATACTCTCCGCGACTACCGTTATCCCCATTTTACACATGAGAAAAGCATTATCAGGGCTGGGGATTTAGCTCAGTGGTTCCGCCTCCTGCCTCGCAAGCGCAGGGACCCGAGTTCAATCCCCGCTACCAAAACAAAAGCATTTTCCCACTGCTATTCACAAAAGGGAGTTCCCATTATTTTAAGGATAAAATAAGTGTTTCACAAAATGTTGAGCACCACTACTTTACCAGGCACCAGAGAAGCACTAGTGGAGAAATAAATGCTCCTCGCTCACAAAAACCAAATTTTTGCCAACTGCATGATCTCATCCTTGATTTCCTCTCCAGTCTAGACTGAAAGGATGCCTCATCTCATTCATGTTTTTTGCAATCTCTTTGGGTTTTTTGTTTGTTTGTTTTGAGACAGGGTCTCTCTATGTAGGTAGTTCAGGTTAGCCTTGAGCTCACTATGTAAGTCCAGGCTGGCCTCGAACTCCTGGCAAGACTCCTGCCTCAACTGGGATTACAGTCGTGGGCCACCACCCTCGGTAATCTCTTTGGTCTTTAAATTATTTTTCTATTCACCCCACCCCCACTTTTTCACAGGTTGTTCACTCAGCCTGGAGCCCTATTACTGCCTTCTACCAGTACCCTTCCCTTAACATCATCCTGGAGATTTCAACTCCGATGTTACTTCCACAGAACCATCTGATCAATGCCCATTATGTACTTTCCTCACAATCCTTTACACAGCTGTCACCAAGTTACAGCGTAATTGTTTGATGTTGTCTCCTCCCATACCCCTTCACAACTTCAAGATGGTAGAGTCCTGGAGGCCCTTAAGAATTTTTATTGGAGGCCTCTGATTTTTAGAAAACTATTACTTAGGCAAGGGTACAATAAGGAAAAGGAGCTTTTTCATCTTGGCCGCAGACATGCCATCCAGACTGAGGAAGACCCGGAAACTTTGGGGCCACGTGAGCCTGGCTGCATTGGCAAGCACTGGAAGCACCCAGGAGGCCAAGTAATGCCGCTGGTATGCATCGCCACAGGATTAACTTCCACAAATATCACCCAGGTTACTTTGGGAAGGTGGGTATGAGGCATTACCACTTAAAGAGAAACCAGAGCTTCTGCCCAACTGAAACCTTGATAAATTGTGGGCATTGGTCAGTGAGCAGACACGAGTAAATGCTGCCAAAAACAAGACTTGGAGCAGCTTCCATCATTGATGTAGTGCGATCTGGCTCCTACAAAGTTCTTGGGAAAGGAAAACTCCCAAAGCAGCCTGCCATTGTGAAGACCAAATTCTTCATCAGAAGAGCTGAAGAGAGGGTTAAGAGTGTCAGGAAGGCCTGTGTCTTGGTGGTTTGAAGCCACAGGATGGTGGGCTCATTAAATACCAACAAATTGTTTTTAAAAAATAAAATGAAAAGGAGTTGTTCCTCAAATCATCTTCCTTCCCTTAAATTTAATTCTACCTCTTGAAGTCAACCAATACTGTAATCTCTTCCACTAAATATCCATAGACCATCATCTTGTCCTCCATACCTTTTCTCCAGGCCCAAACTCCATTCATCCACTGGACAGCCATTAATTGAGCACCTGTTATGCACCATGTGATGACTATTCATGATTTCTCATGAAACAGGTGGCTTCTTAGACTCACATCTTACTCTTGGAGGGGAAGATGAGACAAATTTGCAGGCAAAAGATGTGTTCTGCCTGTGTCTCCCCAGGGAGTCACAAATGCCCAAACTGCCTTTCTTTACTTATTTTTCTGGCAACACTGTTAAGCCTGTAAGACCTCTGTGAGCCCTTGCAGAGCCACCTCTGTAAGAGGCCTCTTAGCTGTGGACTGTATTTCTGAGTTCATGTTTGCTTTCCCCACCTACTGGAGCAGTTGGGGGACCATGGCTTGGTTGGGACTACATCACAGGGCTTCTCTCCAATTGTGGCACTTAGCAGACAAATGATAACTGTTTGTCAAATCACTGTGTGAGATGGAAATCTTTGCAGAACCATCACTGCCCTTGGCTTGGCCCTCCCCACCCAGGGTGGAGTGCTTCCCCAAAGGTAATGGATTTGCTGAGGAGCCAGACTTTAGTGGCTCAAGTGCTCTAAATGTAGAGGCTTTAAGGAAGAATAACAATGGAGGCTATCTTGAGTAATATGGCTGTGTGCTGATGACTTTACTCACAGAGAGGTATATTATTATCTCAGTTTTACAAAGCAGTATGCTAGAAATGTGAGGCCCAGAAACTTGCCCAGATCTCATAACCTTAGTGACCGAGCTGGGATTCCAATCCTGGCTGTAAACTTCAGGTTAATGCATTAACACCTGGCTACACTCACATCCTGATCCTTGGGAATGTCACAGTGGCCTGGCCTTGAGGCGTGGATCAGGCTACTTGGGTACGCCCACCAGGACACATAGAGGCAGTGTGGATGATTCTTCCTTCTTTGGGCTGGAGGCAGATGTGCAGCTATTCCCCAGACAAAGAGTAGGTATGAATTTAAAAGATTTTCAAGCTGTGTATGGTGGCACACACATGTAATTAATCCTAGCACTTAGGAGGCTGAAACAGGAGGATTGCTACAAATTCAAGGTCAGCCTGGGCTACCTAGTGAGTTCAAGACCAGCCTAACTTATATAGCAAGACTCTGTCTCAAAAACAAAAATAAGGGGCAGTTCACTTTTGATTTCTCACTACTCATCCAGAGTAGCTGTTTGCCATCTCTCTTTTGCTCCTTCCTCATCTTCAAATAAATTATCTTTTATTTTGTTTTCTTGAGACAGGATCTTTTGTTTGTTTGTTTGTTTGCAGTACCGGGATCAAACTCAGGACCTTGTGCTTTCAAGGCAGTCACGGTGCCACTGAGATAAATCCCCAGTTATCTTCTTTTATTTTGAAAAAAAAAGAAAGAAAAATATTTTCCCCAGATGTCTAAGAGTATGAACCTGTGAGAGTCATTATAAAGGCATAGCCCTACTCCCACCCTCTGGGACACTTGCTTCTTTTTCTTGACAAAACTGGTGATTTACTAAGTAATTTTTATTCAAGATAAGTACAGCTCTTCATTCCTAGGACACAGGAATCATACTTGGGACAGAGCAGGAGAGGGCAAGGGGCAAATGGGAAATGATTCTTCCTGGCCAAACTGAAGGCTGGAGATGTCCCAAAAGTAACAGCATGGAAATCCTGATAAGGGAATGTCCAAAACTGTTTGGAGATAGGATCAGTTGAGATTCTAAAAAAGAAAAAATTGGGTCAGTGGCGTGGTGCACACTTACAGTCCCGGCACTCTGGAGGCTGAGGCAGGATTGCCATGAATTCAAGGTCAGCCTGGGCCACATAGTGAGACCCTGTCTCAAAATATCAATCAATAAATGAATTTTAAAACAAAAAAGGAATGCCATGATGCTCAGTCCAAAGCCCTACAGAGTAGATGCAGTGTCCTCATGAGGGACAGCAAAAGAAAGATGTTCTACCTAGGCATGTTGTAACAAGGAAATCAGGACACAGAGTTTATATGAGGTTAAGGAACTTGGCTTAGAGCCAAAGCTAGTTTCTTTCAGTGTTTTGGGAAACCACCTAAATACCTTTATCAGTGCCTGGAAATTTTCAGCACCATGGCTTTAGTTCAAGACTGCAGGGCACACAGGACACAAAATAAATATACAAAAATAAGTAGCATTCCTGTACACCAACAAGAAACAAATTAGGAAAACAATCTCACTCACAATAGCTTCAAAAGAAATTAAATACTTAGGAATTAACCTAACCAAGGAGGTGAAAGACCTCTACAATGAAAACTATAATATCCTGAAAAAAGAGCTTGAAGGGAACATCAGAAAATGGAAAGATATCTCCTGTTCCTGGATAGGTAGAACCAATATTGTCAAAATGGCCACACTACCAAAACTAATATACAGATTTAATGCAGTCCCAATCAAAGTACCAATAGCATTCCTCACTATCCTAAATATCATATGGAACCAGAAGAGACTGAGAGAGCAAAAGCAATTCTGGGCAACAAGACCAAAGCAGAAGGCCTCATAATCCCAGATTTAAAGTTATATTACAGGGCCAGGGATGTAACTCAGTGGTACAGTTCCTGCCTGGCAAGCATGAGGCCATGAGTTCAATTCCTGGTTGTTAGAGACCCCTATAATCAGGTTCCAGTACCCACCTGCCCAGTGTGTGACACAGACCTGAGAAAAAAATACACTGAGAAAAAGAGACAGAACTAAGAGAGAAAGCAGGGTGCCAGGACAACCAATGCCGGTGCAACTGACAAAGGCCTGCACAGTCCCAGGCACTGACCTTTATTGGCAATCCATTGGGATAAAGGCAACATGTGGCTTCTATGGAAATTAATGTAAACGTGGATCATAAAGGACAAGACAAAGCATTCTCAAATTAGGAACGGAACAGACAAAATATATGATTGTCCTTCTATTTGAGTTACTCTGACCTCAGCACTCCATGTAGGCTTCAGCCATACTAACTTCTGTAAACAAATCAATTGTGGGGTTAACTCTTCACAGCCTGCTTTAGGGATAATCGATATTACAGTCCTCTGTATCTCCTCCGTCTCTGTTTGAAAACAGCAGTTGCATCAGGTTTGGTGATCTTTGTAGGTCCCAGAAACATAGCAGGTGAGGGGAGTCACTCAGAGGCAGCCTTTGCATAGTTTTCAGAAGGGTGTCACTTCATGTTGCTTGCAGCAAAATCATCTTGGTCCATGATTGTGCTCTCTTCAGCAGCACACATACCATCTTGGTCCATGATGGTACATTCTGGGATGATGGCCACAGCATCTTTTTATTTTCTGTTGAAAAATAAGCATATCCTGGCCCCTATGTTATTAATTGTATTGAGCCATTTATCTTTTAGTTAGTACATACTTTGACAACACTAGTGTCTAGGACATGTCTGTAGATGTATCTTTCAATATATTTGCTTTCCATAAGTGGATCTAAAAAATTTTAAAATGAAAGTAACAAGATCTAATTGAGCTTGTGGAGGTAGCTGTACCCCCTTTTTTGTTTATGTAATTGTTCCTTTAAGGAAAGGTAAGTAGATCCAACAATAGTTTGGCCCTATGAGTTATCCAATGAACCTATGTCATAAGGACTTATAATGTGTCTAACTGACTTAGCTGTCTATAATAATTTCCTTTATAAAGAGCATCTCCAACTGCAGTTAAGGGAAAAAAGTCTTAGTTTCAATCCAACTGCTTTGAGCTGAGAAGGTCAATGTAAAAAAGACCACAGTTAGGGGCTCTCTTCAGGGACTAATTTAATAGCCCTTAAATAAAAAGTATAATATAGCAATTATAAACTCTTTATAAAGTCCATCTGGTGGATTTTGGTTAAAAAAAATCAGAACATTTGCTAAACTGGTTTTATTCATTTATTTATTTATCTATTTATTTTAATTTTTAGGTACCAGGGATTGAATTCAGGCCCTTGAAGGCAGCAGAACTACTGAGCCAAATCCCCAGCCCATTAAACTGTTTTTAAAGGACTAAAATAGTGATTGTAACCTGCTGGTTCTTAGACCCTTTTACTAATGGAGGTTATCTATAAGTCTGATATTTGTCATAATTTTTCTTAACTGTAAAAAGATTAAAAATTGAATAATTTAAAAAAACAATTTTAGCTAAAAAATTTAAAATCTCTTGTTGAGGTCTACAATTTTACCAAGTTTTTTTTCTAATGACTAATAGCAGGAGTGAGTCACCAGTGTAACTGGAAACTGTCAGTAGGGGTCAGTAATTGGAGCCCCTTCTTATATCCAGTTTTATTACTATGGTTTGGCTTCATATGTCTTTGGATTACACTTTTCTACTGGGTGCTTAAGACCAAGTTAAGGTGAGACCTATATTAATTAAAATTAACCTCTTGCTATCCACCAAGTTCAATGAAGTCTCCACGGGCATTACTTTGAAGCCTGTATAGAGCTTTTCAGCTCCTGTCAGTGTCAGCCATTAGGATGTGTCATGGCCTTGCTTGACCATGTTGTTTTTGTGAAATCATGGGAGACTTTTTCCCTACAAGTGACACTCCTTTGGCATACTCTTGATGCTTGTCTTTTTGGTGTCCAACAATCGCCCTGCTCAGGAGGTTGGGTGACTTATGAAAGTTGTAGGATCTTGTAGAAAAGATTTTTCATGTCCTGAGTTGTTTGTAGATCTTGAAGGGCCAGGGCCAAAATATTGGCTTTCTTCTTAGCCCAGTTACCTTTCTAGTTCTAGTTTTTTTGTTTTTTTTTTACCTTTCTAGTTCTGGTCTTTAAACTTTAGTTGTTGAACATCCAGAAGAGATGATCAATAACATGAGCATTGCAATGGGAATAGTGAACTTAATTATTATAATTTTATCTGGCTATCAACCACTTTAAAATATAAAATATAGTTAGAAGCCGGGCGTGGTGGTGTATGATTGTAATCCCAGCACTCGGGAGGCTGAGGCAGGAGGATCGCTGTGAGTTCGAGACCAGCCTGGGCTACATAGTGAGTTCCAGGTCAGTCTCAACTACAAAGTGAGACCCTGTCTCAAAAAACCAAAAGAAAAAAAAAGAATTATTTTTTATCAATCATGGTTGTTCTAGTAGTTGAATTCCTGTAAAATGTTAACAGAAAAAAAGCTTCAAATCAAAAGCCACATATAATATTTTAGCATGACAATTATGATAACATTATCCTTGTAATACACCTCTGTAAATAAGCCAATTGTGGGGTTAACTCTTCATGGCCTGCTTTGGGGTAATCAATATTATAGTCCTCTGTACCCAGAATCAATCAATCAATAAATAATAAAGTTATATTACAAAACTTCAGTGATAAAAAATAGCATGGTTCTGGTACAAAAGCAGATATGTGGATCAATGGAACAAAACAGAGAAGGCAGAAACAACTCCAGGCACATTCAGCCATCTGATCTTTCACAAAGAGGCCAAAAGCATATGCCAGAGAAAAGATAACCTCTTAAATGGTGCTGGGAAAACTGATTATCCACATGCAGAACAGTGAAGCTCTACCCATATCTCTCACCGTGTACTAAACTAAAATCAAAATGAATCAAAGACCTAAATACTAAAACAGAAACACAGAATCTGATGAGAAATAAAGTAGGTAGACCTCTTGAAGACATAGGTATAGGGAAGGACTTCACAAACAGAACCCCATTTGCACAAGGAATGACATCAAGAATCAACAAATGGGATTATATCAAATAAAATTTCTGTACAACAAAGTAGAGACAACCTACAGAACAGGGGAAACAATTTACTAGCTACTCTTCAGACAGAAGACTAATATGTAGAATATATAAAGAACTCAGAAATACTAGACCCCACCAAATTAAAAAGATACAATCAAAATATGGGCAATTGAGGAGCCAGGCATGGCAGCACATGCCTGTAATCCCAGCTCTCAGGAGGCCAAAGCAGTAGGATTGCCATGAATTGGAGGCCAACCAAGACTACTTAGACCAACTTGGACTACACAGAAAGACCCTGTTTCAAAAAACAAAAACAAAGAGGGGGCAGAGGATTTAGCTCAGTGGTTGCCACCTGCGTTGAAAGCAGAAGATCCCAAGTTCAATCCCTGGTACCAAAAAAGAAAGAAAAAAAGGAATAGGTACTTCTCAGAAAAAGTACAAATGACCAATAAGTACTGTACTGTATATGAAAAATGTTCAACATCTTTGTCCATTACAGAAATGCAAATCAAACCAACACTGAGATTTCATCTTATTCCAGGAAGAATGACTATCCTCACAAATTCAAAAAACAACAAATGCTGGCAAGGTTGTGGGGGAAAAATCCTTCCATATTAATAGTAGAAAGGTAAACTATTACAACCACTACAGGAGTCAGTAAGGGGATTCCTCAAAAGAACTAAAAATCAAGATTCTATTCAACCCAGCTATACATCTTGCAGGTATATTTCCAAAAGTTAAAGACATCATGTTATAGAGATATATGCATACCCATGTTTGTTGCAGCACAATTCACAATAGCTAAATCTTGGAACAGCCTGTGTGTTTATCAATAGATGAATGAATAAATAAAATATACTTATATACAATGGAGTACAAATCAGCCATAAAGAAGAATAGACTTGAGCCATTTGAAGGAAAATGAATGCACCTTGAGACAGTAATGCTAAGCGAACTAAATCAGACACAGGCTAAAAATATTGCGTGGTTTTTAGTATATGAGAAACTCAAAAGTATAAATAACCTAAGAGCAAAACAAAAGATAGATGATAGGAAAAGGGAGGTAGGCCTTTTGCAGATGGGAAGGGGATCTAGGGATAGAAGGAGAGGTGAGGGAGAGGCGTGCAAAAGGAAGTAAAAAATATTAAGATTTGTTATACATATGTGTGTACCAACTCCCCACAATGAATATATTCATTATATATCACAAACATGAATAAATAACATAAATAAACAATAGATCGGGCCCTTGCCTTTCTCCTGTCGTGTTAGTGGGCCATTACTTTTCACCTGTAAATGGAACCTTACTTTCTATAAATTCACAAATTGCACAGATTTCCACTCCAAATTATGTAACTATAACCAGCCACAGATCATAATGTACCTCTTGAAGATCCACACTCCACTTTCTTCTAATATACTTCTTCAATTCTGCCTAATATGCCCTTTTATGCCTCTCAAAAAAAAAAAGGCTGCAGGAAAAAAACACAACTGGTCAGTTTCACAGAGCCATCAAGCCACTCTGTATTTCTTAGAACAAGAGGAAAAATCCTAGGAGCACCTTGAGTGACCCTACAGGAAAACTGCGTAGGAAACACCGTGTTCTCCAATTTTAAGTCAGGAAATGGATACTGTAAGTGATTGAAAGACTTAGCCATTAAACATCTCTACTTTTAGAAATATATTACAGCCAGGCATGGTGGCACATGCCCGTAATCCCAGCACATGGAAGACTGAGGCAGGAGGATCATTGCAACTTTGAGGCCAACTTAGACTATATAATCAGTTGAAGACTAGCCTGAATTACAAAGTAAGACACATTTGGAGATCTATTCTTCAGACCAACTTCCTTCTCTGGAACCTCAATGGATAAAATTCACAATATCTCCCACAAAACATCCAGTTAAATACCTGAGGAAAATCAGGGGTTTGGATTCGGTGAGCAAGAGAGTAATAGTAACCAAAACTAGGAAAAAGTGAAGGAAACCAATCAGGCTGAGCCAAAGGGATATATGCAGGGTATGGGGAGCAGGGCACTGGCCTAAGGCACTGGGGATCCTTGTTTTCCCAGACTCAGCAGTCTCGCCTGGGGCATTTGAGTCATCCTGACTGTGCTTAGGACCAAGTGTCCTAAATACCCTGAAAACCCCTTCCTGTTTTGAACACTCTCCCTGCAACAACCTTCGTTGCAACATTTCGTAGAAAGGAAGTGAGGAGGTGGCTGGAAGAGAGAGACGTAGAGAAGTGACCAGATTACACAGGAAGGAGTAGTTACATCTAGGGTTACATAAACTCCTAGGGGCTGCCCAAGAGATAAGCGCATAGAGCCTGGAAGCTGGAGGGCGCCGCAGTACGAGAAAGACACCAAAACCCTTCCCAGAGCTGCTCTTGGAACTCCTCGACCATGGTGAGTATACGGTCTCAAGGTCCAACTAGGGCAGCCAGAGGAAGCCCAGGGGCGGGCTGGGGCTTGCCCTGACCGCTGCTGTCTCGCAGGAGCTCGCTCCCTGCTTGTTGCTGCTGCTGCTGCCGCTGATGCGCGTCTTGGCGGGCACCTCGCCGTCGCCGCTGCCCGAACCCTGCGAGCTGGACGAAGAGGACATCCGCTGCTCCTGCAATTTCTTGGATCCACAGCCGGACTGGTCCAGCGCCCTCCAGTGTACTGTAGCAGTCGACGTGGAGATCCGAGCCGGCGGCCGCAGCCTGGAGCCCTTTCTGAAGCGTGTCGACCCCGAGGCCAACCCGCGGCAGTACGTGGACCTGGTCAAGGCTCTGCGCGTGCGGCAGCTCAAGTTGGGAGATGCACGGGTTCCCGCTCCGTTCCTCTTCGGCTTGCTGCGGGTGCTGGCCTACTCCCGCCTCAAGGAACTGACTCTCGAGGACATAGAAGTCACTGGCGCGCCGCCGTCCACGCCTCTGGGAGCCTCCGGGCTTGGGATCTCCACCTTGCGCCTCCGCAATGTGTCCTGGGCAGCCGGCGGTGCCTGGCTCTCCCAACTGCAGCAGTTGCTCAAGCCGGGTCTCCTGAAGGTACTGAACATTGCCCAAGCACATTCGCTTGCCTTTCCCTGCGAACAGGTCCGCAGCTTCCCAGCCCTCACCACCCTCGACCTGTCTGACAATCCTGCGCTGGGTGAGCATGGACTGGTCGGGGCTCTTTGTCCCCACAAGTTCCCTGCGCTCCAGGATCTAGCGCTACGTAACGCTGGGATGAAGACGCCCAGCGGCGTGTGCGCTAGACTGGCGGCGGCCGGGGTACAACCCCACCGCCTGGACCTCAGCCGCAATTCGCTACGTGCTACCTCAAACGCCGGCGACCCAGAGTGTGTCTGGCCCAGCACGCTAAACTCCCTCGATCTGTCGTTTGCTGGGCTGGAGCAGGTGCCCGAGGGACTACCTGCCAAGCTCAGCGTGCTGAATCTCAGCTGCAACAGGCTGAATAGGGCGCCACGGCTGGACGAGCTGCCTAAGGTGGGTAACCTGTCACTAGAGGGAAATCCCTTCCTCGTCGCCGGAGCCTCCTTCCCCCAAGAGAACACTATGAACTCTGAATCCGGCGTGGCCCCAGCCTGTGCACGTTCACATCTGGCAGTGGGGATTTCAGGAACACTGGCTGTCCTCCAAGGGGTCCGGGGCTTTGCCTAACCCAAGGGAGAAGAATGAATGTCCTGGGAGCACCATCACAATGACCAGCACTTGATCAACCAACGCTCTGCCTCACCTTTATTAAAACCTTAAACCATAGGTTATATCGTTCACTCAACAGATCTTTACCGGGTGTCTGCTGTGTTCTGGGCTCAGGGCCAGAGAAGGAAACTATCTTACTTAAACTGTCTTCACCCTGAATCCCTAGAAATCCTGTATGCCCAAGAAAAGAACTGCAGGGGTAGAAGAGACAAATAAATGTTTCCTGGTTAGTACTGCGTGGGAGAAATAATGTGTATCCAGGGCTTTCTGAGCAGAATACTGGCACTAGGGTTAAAGGGTACTGAACAGTAAACAAACTTTGCAGAGTACAGAATGTTTCCTCTTTGGCTCATTTTCCAAGAGCCAAAGGTAATAAGCCCCAGAGCTATTTGTTTATATGCTTTCTCTTTCTTTTCCACTACACCCCTAGAGAGAGAAATTCAAAGTTTCACAGTTTCAAGGATCCTCTCCCATGGTGTCAAACTCCTCTGCCCCTTCAGGTACAGTGGCTTTTGCTGTGTTTGCACCCTGTCCACGGGGAATTGGGATACCCCAACTGGGAAACAGATGTGAGATCCAATCTGTTACTGAACTAGAGATAATTCTGTTGTGTTAATATGTATTTGGGTAACTCAGGCTAACTTTTTTTTTTTTTGAGGTAGGGTTTCACTGTATAGTTGAGGCTGGTCTTGAATTCACTATGTAGCTCAGGCTGGCTTTGAACTTTCAATGATCCTCCTGTCTCAGCCCTCCCAAGGGCTGAGATTACAGGTGTGTGCCACCATATGCCCAGCTCAAGGCAGTTTCTTGTATTTTAATAGCTCTGATTACAGTTCAAACAGTTGCCAAGCCCCAGTTCCACCTCAAACCTAGTACTAAAGCTGTAATTCAAGGAGAAGAGTTAACCCTATAAGGGGAAGAAGCTCTAGGAAAAATTTGCATATGAAACACTTACTGGAGTTTTGTAACATGGCTGTCACATCCTCAAGAAGGACATTTCAGGCCAGAATGGGCAGCACATTTAAAAGCTTAGAATCTTGAAAGTAGATGACCAGAACTAGGAATTGTACCTGGTTAGGTAGTGCTGGAGATTGTTGTGATAGAAGCCCTAGATATTCATTCAAGTGCCCATTACTGTTAAAACTATACCAAATTCTAGGGATATAGCAGTAATAAAGCAGACATCTCTTCTCATACAGAGGTCAGATTCTAGTTGCATGATGGATGTTATGAGTTGAATGTATGTTTGTGTCCCTTCATAACTCATATGCTGAAGCCCTAACCCCTACAGTAGCAGTATTTGGAGATGATGCCTCTCCGGAAGTAATTAAGTTAGCCATAGTGTGGACCCTGACCCAATAGAATTAATGTATTTACAAAAAGAGATACAAGGTGGGGCATGTAGCTCAGTGGCACAGTGCATACCAGGCAAGCACCAGGCCCTGAGTTTTATACTTTGTACCAAAAAAAAAAAAGATAGAGAATCTACACATGATCTCCCTCTATACCTGCACCAAGGAAAGATGTGAGGACAGTGAGAATGTGGCCATCTATAGGCCAGGAATCAAGCCATCACCAGACAGCAAGCATGCTGGCCCTTGATCTTCAGAACATTGAGAAAATAAATTTCTGTTGTTTAAGCCACGCAGTACATGGCATTTTGTTATAACAACTGTCTAAGACAGTGATGATATTATGATATATCTGATTGTGATAAGTGCTGTGAAAACAAATGAAACAGAAAAGAGGCAATTAGTGTTAAGGATTGGCATGTCATACAAGATTGTCAAGGAATGAATAGAGTACCGAGTGATTTGGAGCTTGAGGATACATGAAAGAATATCATTTCAGACAGAAATATCAGCAAATACAAAGATCTTGAGGTCTTCAGGATGTTAAAGGAAACAATAAGGAGGCCAGTGTGGCTGCAACAGAAAAGCCAAAGTGGGGGAGAGGTAAAAAATGAGGTCAGAGCAGTGGCAGGGAACAGATCACATAGGACCTTGTAAAAGAATGCTCTCAAAGTATGGTCAAGTAAAGTGTTGGTCTGCAAATTATTATCACTGTGCTATCAGGAGGGAACTATGTCTCTAGGCATTTTTTTACAGTATGCAGCAGCCTACAGACAAGATTTGTTTATCTGAGGTCAGGGTAGAAATTCAGGGAAGCTCAAAGATTGAGAAGTCTGAATTGATAGAGCAAGGCTGAATAGCATGCACTAAAGGAGGAAGTGAAGCAAGAAGGGGAATATGACTATGACAGAAACGAAGTCTGCACTTCCACATGGCACTTTGGGGTCAGATATCCGGTGTTGTGATGGATTTTATGCTGAAATGGTGAGATGTATTCTTAGGACTTTCTTTTCTGAGCCATCTTGTTTCCTGCAGCTTCCTCTTTTGTCTTAGTTCTATCGTCTGGAACCAATGAGTATACTAGCTCTTTTCTTTGGCTACTGAGGAAAGAGGTTTGCCCTTTTTAAAAAATTGTTCCCTCTCTCTCTCTCTCTCTCTCTCTCTCTCTCTCTCTCTCTGTGTGTGTGTGTGTGTGTGTGTGTGTTTTCTTTCTCTCTCTCTCTCTCTCTCTCTCTCTCTCTCTCTCTCTCTGTGTGTGTGTGTGTGTGTGTGTGTGTCTTCTCTTTTCCAACACAAACCCTTCAGCCATATTTTCGAATGCTCAAAGTTCTATTCTTTCCAACATAGGTGGCTCTTTTTGAGCCTCTTAAAATCATACGCAGGAAGAACACTGAAACATTGTCTTGAATCTTTGTGCATTTTGTTTGGTTTTGTTTTTGAGACAGGGTCTCATATGTAGTTGAGACTGACCTGGAACTGACTATGTAGCCCAGGCTGGTCTTGAACTCACAACGATCCAAGTGCTGGGATTATGGGCATGTGCCACCACGCCCAGTGTGCATATTTTAAAATATCTAGTTTTTTGTCTAGGGGGTTGGTTTTGGAGACAGGGTCTCACTATGTAGCCCAGGCTGCCCTCAAACTTACAGCGATCCTCCTGCATCAGCCTCCCAAGGGCTGGGAATACAGATATGCAACACCATGCCTGGCAAATACTAGTTTTTAAAGCCCTGATATTATGTGTAATAAATATGGTATTGTGGCTGTGTTTAAGAAAAAGTGCTTAATAGAAGGCCAAACACACGCTGATAGGCGCTACCACGTGTGCCAGCCTATTCTTCGGAACCTACTTAGTGGAGGACGGAGAGAGAAGGCTGTCCGCCCAAGCCTAGCACTGTCATTTACAAGGTGAAAAAAAACCAGGTGCCTCTCAGTGCCGATGGGCCTCAGTGAAATGTGCTCAAAATAGAACCACCCGTGTGCTTCACCAGAGAAGACCCCGGGTCCTTGGTAGAGCAGCTTGATGGGGTTCTGACAGTTTTGGAAGAGTCCAGAGGAACCCAACCCGAACCAGCGATCTCGAGAATATTCCACACAGAACAAAGATGCCTAAGGAAGCCCGGGGAACTGATCGTGGAAGCTCTGATTCCACAGAAAATGCCAGCAGGAGGAGAAACGACGAGTGCGGGAGAGGCGTTCACCGTGCAGCAAAAAGCTCAGGACTTGAAGGCTGGGCGCACAGGTAGAGGGGCGCCAGAGCGTGGGGAGCACACCCTGCTCCCCTGATGCTCCTGTCAGCCTCGGAGGACAGCCGCACTCTTTAAATTTGTAAATGGAAAGGTCGCTGAGTTACAGGAATAAACCAGGAGAAGCAAATACGTCAGGGTTGTCAGTCCAGCCTGTTTGCTCCTCACCTGAGATCTCTGAGCTTTCTAAAGTTATTAATGGTGTAATTATAGGGAAGCCTGCAAACACCCAACTCAGTGGGCAGGCTGGCTTCTCGTGCCTTAATGTTTGCAATTAAAGAGCCAAGGATAAATTCCTTACCTGTGGGGCCTTAGTGCATTAAACTACAAATTCTACAATATTTAATATATAAAAGCACATTTATGGGCTGTGATTAAAGGTAATATAAACAAAAAAAGAAAGTGTGCTTAACAAATACATCACAAGGAAATAAAATTACAGAGCAATAGCCCTTATAAATATGGACACAGGAATCTTCAACAGAATACTAGCAAACCAAATCCAGCAGCACATAAAAGGAATTACACACCACGAGCAATTGGAGTTCATCCCAGGAGTGAAGAATTGGCTTACCATCAAAAAATCACTAAAATACACCACATCAATAGAATAAAAAAAAAAAAACTGTGATTATCTAACTGGGTGTAGAAGAGGCATTTAACAAAATCCAAGGCCTTTCATAAAAAGCACTCAACAAAAGGAAAAGCAGGGAACTCCCTTGAAAGATAAAGGGCATCTACAAAAAAACATGAGTTGAGATCATACTTAGTGTTGCCTTATGGCAGCAACAAAACAAAGATGTGAGTTCTCACCATCTCAATTCAATTTTTTCTAGAAGTTCTGGCCATGACAATTATGAAAAAGAAAGAAAGGGCATGTTGATTGTAAAACTAGAAGTAATAATATCTCAATTCACAGATGATATAGTCATGAGTATGAAAAACCCCACAGAGCCAGGCATGGTGGTACATGGCTATAATCCCAGCCACTTAAAAGGTTGAGACAGGAGTACTATGATTCTGCATTTGCCACCACCCTGTGCAATTTAGTGAGACCCTGTCTCAAAATTAAAAGATAAAAAGGGCCTGGGGATAGAGCTCAGTGGAGAGCACTTGCTTAGCATGCACAAGGGCCTAGGTTTAATCCTCAGGATCACCACCACCAAAACAAAAAATCCTGTGGATTCACTAAAATACATCAGTATTAATCAACAAGTTCAGCAAGGTCACAGGATTGAAGTTAAATAAGCCAAAGCCTATTGTATATTATGAGAACATTCTGAAAGTTAAATTAAGAAAACAATTCCAACCTAGGAATGATGGCACATCCCTGTAATCCTAGCACTCTAGGAGACTGAGGCAGGAGAATTGAAATTTGGACCTCAGCCTCAACAATTTAGTGATTTAGTGAAGCCCTGTTTCAAAATAAAAAATTTTAAAATAGCTGAGGAAAAAAATAGCTCAGAATAAAGACCCTGGGTTCAATTCCTTCCTTCCTTACTTACTTAACAAAAAGAAGGGAAGGAAGGAACAGAGGGAGTGAGGGAAGGAGGGAGGGATGAAGTGAGGAAGAAAGAAAGATTGATTTTCATTTATAATTGCAGCATAAAGAATAAAATAATTAGGAATAAATATAACAAAAGAAGAGCAAAACTTAAACTCCCAGAGCTACAAAATACTGTTGAAAGAAGTTAAAGATCTAAGTAAATGAGATAATATTCTGTGCTCATAGATCTGAATATTATTATGAAGACAATTCTACCATAATTCATCTATAGATTCAATGAAATCCTTATGAGGATTTTAGCAGCTGGTTTTTTTTGTATAGAATGACAAGCTGATTTTAAAGCTTATACGATTTCAACAGACATAGAACAGACAAAATAATCCTGCAAAAGAACAAAGTTGAAGGACTCATACTTTCTGATTTTTTTCATTGAGTGTATTGGTACTTTTTAAGTATGCAGTACAGTTACATTCATCATTGAGATCTTGTACCCTTACA